TACATATATGAGACCACACACCTGCACACCAAGGTCCACCTCTCTCTCTCTCTCTCTCTCTCTCTCTCTCTCTCTCTCTCACACACACACACACACACACACACACACACACACACAGGGAAGGAGAGAGAGTATGTGAGAAGTGATATATCATGACTTTGCTATATTCTACTGGTCACATAGATCAAGTCTAATACAATGTTCAAGGGTATTTCTCAAAACCATGACTATCAGAAGATGGGGATCATTGAGAATCATCTTGAAGGCTGGCTCCTACCCTTATTTATTTAGTAATATTTTATTCTAAATTAAAGGATATCTTCACTGAATGCCACAAATGTAGAGTGTAATAGCTATGTAATATAGGCGACTCAGATAGCAGAGGCTAGGCAGATGGCTCAGTGGGTAAAGTGCTCACTGCACAAACACGAGGACCCGAGTTCAGATACCCAGCACCCACACGAAAAGCTGGGCAAAACTGGGTACATCCAGCACTGAATGAGGCAGAGACAAGAGGATGCTGGAGCTCATTGTCCAACTAGACTAGCAAATCACCAAGTTCCAGGTTCAATGAAACATCCTGTCTCAAAAAATAAGGTAAACGTGATTGAAGAACACCCTTGACATTGACCTCTGACCTCCACATTCACTAACACACATGGACACGTACACACAACACATAACATGAACACGCACAAACACATATTTTAATATGTCTTTCTGGTTACCACTCATAGTAAAATTCCCAAGAAAATGGAGTACGTTTTTTTTTTTTAACCAAGTTCACAGTGGTTGTATTGTGTATGTGTTAGCTTAGTTAATAGCAAGCAAATAATATGCTGCCATTATGTGTAATGTATAATTCCATGGTAGGCTTGGATAATGAGCAGGCTTTCATTCATATGACTGTTTAGTGGGACATTTGCAAGTCAGGTGAAGCAAGGAAAAATTCCTGGCTATGCTTAATTGCCCTGAACACTGAAAAACACCTGGCATCCCGCCTGTGGTCAGACATGATGCTTGAAATACCTATCAAGCAGGACGACATGGACTTAGAAGTCAATCGGAAAGAGTGCTGGCCAACGGAGCATATCTGCATAACTCCGCTGAACAGAAAGTCTGCTGGTAGCAATGTCCTATCATTGTAGCAACTAAGATTCCTCTTCAAAGGGCCCCACTGGAGAGGAGCAGCTTCCCCTGAGAACCAGTGATTTGCAACCAGGACTCTACCCTGCAGCCAGCATATTGTGACCCAGGAATACCTCAGTCCTGCCTGGTGGGCTTTATATCTCTCTGTGTGTGCATGAACAGGTGTATGTATTCAAGAGTATGTGCAAGCATGTAGAAACCAGAGGGCTTGACTGTCCTTCACTTTTTTTTTTTTTTTTTTTTTTGAGACAGGTTTCTCTTGTAGCTTTAGAGCCTGTCCTGGAACTAGCTCTTGTAGACCAGGCTGGCCTCGAACTCACAGAGATCCGCCTGCCTCTGCCTCCCGAGTGCTGGGATTAAAGATGTGTGCCACCACTGACCGGCTCCTTC